AATGACCAGAAACTGTGCAACTGCAGAAATTGACGCGGCATTGACGCGGCATCAATTCAAGAACATCTTTGAACGTGACGTCACCTTTTCAAAATAAATTTAGCCACGTGTGCCACGTGGATTTCTGGCTGCATGAAACAGAGGGTAATTTGAATTGCAGAGCTTTGCGGATTCTATCCGCGATCTGCACACGTTCTGACGTGTTGGATTCCACCGCAGAAGCCCGCGAAGACTTGCCTCGCTCCGGATCGCCGCGTGCAACCCCGGACGCACCAAAAGTCCCGCACCCCACACCCACACACGCCCACACACACATACTTAGCCACTTATATATAGTAGTAGGATAACAATTAAAAAAAACAAAGAGCCGACCTTACCTCAAACGGTTACTGGATGGGTTTTCCATGTTGATCACAAATGCAGAACGTGTCACGCATGGTAATACGACGGCGTGGTGGTAGCCAAAGCAAGGGGTGTGAGACGACAGTGGGCCAATAAATCAGTCCAGCATCACATGCATAACATCGACGCAATACTCCAGCACAGCAGAAACTTCTTCAGCACAACTGGTCGATGATGGCAGCGATATGGCCGACTCGGCAGCGGCGGCAGCGGCGTTAACGACGCCTCTAGCTGTAGCGACGGCGGCGGATTGGCGGCGTCAGCAGCAGCGGCGTTGGCGTGAGTGGCGGCTTCTGCAGCGTTCGACAGCGGCTTCTGCAGCGTTGACAGCGGCTTCTGCAGCGTTGACAGCGGCTTCTGCAGCGTTGACAGCGGCTTCTGCAGCGTTGACAGCGGCTTCTGCAGCGTCGACAGCGGCTTCTGCAGCGTCGACGGCTTTGGCAGCGGCTTCTGCGACAGCGTTGGTGACGGTGGCGACGGCTTCGGCGGCAGCGGCGCTGACAGCGGTTTTCGGCTGTGGTGGTGGAGGGGGCGGTGGGGGGGGGGCAGCGGCATGAAGTGACGACAATGATGTCTCGTTGGATAGAGGATCGAGTGCCGGTAGCTCCATTGGCGAACTGAACTGGCGCTGCAACCCCTTCAGCGGTTCAGACACCCTCCCCTCGCGCGAACGATACATGAAGAAAAAGTGTGTAGTGGCGTGAGCTGAAATAGAGTTAGCTGAGATGACAGAGCGACAAAGCTTGATTTTCGCCTCGTGTCCTGCACCGGGTGCTCGACTTGGTACGGCGGTTTACGCGGTGGACTGCTTGAACAGCTTATTCTCATATGCATATTACGCTGCTAAGAACGATACGAGACAGACAAAGAAAATCCTAAGAAGCACTAAACAACTAGCAAAACATGTGTACACAATTCGTACATAGCATTAGCATGTCGCCCCATACGGCTTAGGAGAAACGAAGACCTGCAATAGAAGTGGTATCAGATGGAATGTGAATGTGTGCTATGTGTCGAGTGCGGAAGTCTGAATACTGCGAAACAACCACATTGCAGAAAGTGAAACGAAAACGACATGTTGATGACGACATGTTAAGCTGAGCACATTAGGTAAAAACTCTGTTAACTGCTTCATTCACTATAAAATCAGTCAATCTTGTTCCACGTAAGGCCGATGTCATAGTTTGCAAATGAGCGGTGTCGAGCCGATGGTGCATCTATCGCACCATCGACTCGACACCGTTTGAAAGCAGTGTCACTTGATACTGTTTGAAAGTGGCGAGACTCCCTTTGAATACGTTAGGAAGTCCCGCCACTTTCAAACGGGGTCGAGTCGAGGGTGCATCGATCGCACCATCGACTCGACACCGTTTGAAAGCAGTGTCACTTGACACTGAAAGTGGCGGGACCAGGGCCAACCCTGCGTTGCGCAAATTACAAATTTTTTACGGCCCCTTCCCTTTCAAGGGGTATCAGTACGACCCCCCCCCTCCGCCGTACGATAATTGAAATATCTAATTCAATTTGTCATCCAGTACCAATAAACACACAAGATTCTATAAAAACAATTACGAGTTTCGAATAGGATATCTTCCCGTAATGCTTTAGGGGCTTTTAGCGCGGCCTGTGAAGCATTACGGAATAACACTCCGCCACCACGTACCCTCCCCAGGGCTGACGGTAACTAATGTTGAGCCTAAGGGGGAGTTGAATTCTTCCTCCCCTCTTAGGCTTAAACCTTGGGGGCCTTCAGCTCCCATATTTCTATTTATAAACCTAGGAAGGAAGGAAAGTAAGATCGAAAAGGTAAACAAAAAACGGAACCAGAAAACCAAAGAATGAAATTTGAACTCAGGAATTCGCTCCTTGCCACGGCGCGAGGTGGCGTGGGGCGCGTTCGCTACTCGTTTGAGACGCGGAATCGAGGCAAATGGAATATTAACTTTTTAATTCGAGAATTCGGAAGATTTTTTTATAAACCCAGGTACTGCTATGTCCCTAGAGCTCTCTAGTTTCAGGAATCTGCCACAGCTTGTACAGCTTATACAAAAAGGGAATTTGGACGTCCATGGAGTTTTCCATGGACGTCCAAATTCCCTTTTTGTATAAGCTGGAAAACTGAATCTACTATACAGGGTGGCTACTAAATATTGGCGCATGGTTTATTGATCATATTTCCAAAAAGAGAAGCTATCATATCTTCAGAAGTTTATTTTCATATACAATAAAACATGAAAATTCATTACCAAAGAAAGTGCTCGAGATGGCCTCCTTTGGTAGCGATACAGGCTTGAAGTCTCTTTTCAACTGACATCACCGTGGGCCGCAAGTAGCTGACGTCGGCGTGACGTGAGTAGATCTTCAGACCAGAAGTGGCGCACGATTTGCAAAACGACAGGCAGTTGTTGGATCTGGCTAGCAGACATTCTGCTCGACCTTGTGTACACACAAGGAACCGTTTTTCAAATTTGTCATGGTTTGGGCAGGAATTACTTCTGAAACCATGACACCGCTTGTCTTTGTGGATGAATACATCAAAGCCAGCGCCCAGATCTACACGGAAACAATTTTCACGTAATGCCCTTCTTCAAAGACTCTTTTGACCTTCAGCGAACGCCATTGGCCGATGCCAGACTCTGCGATTGGAGCGATTCACATTACTCCCATCATGACCAATCGCTCCAATCGCGCGATGGGCGCGATCACTCCCGTTGTGGCAGGGAGCGATCAATCGCTGGCGCGCCCCCCTCGATCGATACGTTGACTGCGGAGCTGCGCTAGGCTATCATATCTTGATGCAGCTCGATTATAGCTGTGATGCTTATGTAGAACGTGTTTCTCCCAGATCTGAGCATTTGATTTCTTCTTTGACGTTCGTTTTTAAGGTTGCAAGATGTTCTTAGTTTCAGGCCATCACTTCGAGTGAGTCAGTGCAGTGCTGGTTCGGTTGCGTATCACTTCTTTACTGTTTACTAGACGTTGAACACCTAAGGTTTCCTTTCACCTAAGGTCTACACCAGCGACTGATCGCTCCCTGCCACAACGGGAGTGATCGCGCCCATCGCGCGATTGGAGCGATTGGTCATGATGGGAGTAATGTGAATCGCGCGATGGTCGCGCGATTCACATTACTCCCATCATAACCTAACGATCATATGGAAATAGACACAAACCCACCGATAGAATGGGATGCATTAAAAAAGTAAGATGTTAATGCAGTGAGGAGTAAGAGTAAAAGATCAAAGGAGTTTCTAGTGTCAGCACGGTGACAGTTCCTACTGCCAGCGAGTTGTGACAGCTGACCGGTGGGAATTCAAACGCGAAGTAGCCCTTCCGTTTTCTCGAATTGCTTACCAAAACAACGCATTTTTTGTTCTTTTCGTTCTTATCGTGAGCGATGGGTTCGAGCCAAGGATTCATGGTGAGATAGAATCATGATTTTTGCGAAGGACCTCTTTCTCTACAAATAGTCCCATTGTTCCGCATTCTTCAGGGTTTGTGGTCTGCTTTTTAGAATGCGCGAGTTCTCGTTATTCAAACGCTCACACGGCTTGATTAAGTTTAGAGTAGTTTAGAGAAGAGTGTAAAGAGTTACATTTACAAATTTCTAAGGGTGGAATTAGTAAATGGGACACAGGGGCTTCCAAGAAAATACTATTTGAACTCCTTAATGACCACTCTTTCAGAAAACAGTCCCGTTAATCCGTTTTTCCCCTACGGCCATCCTCCTCACGATGAAACGTCGCGGGTTTTGAATCGTCGAACGCCCGCAGATTTCTTCAAAATCAACAGGCCGTCGGAAGGGGGGGGGGTGGGGGCATGAGGCGGCAAATCACCAATCTTTTTTTGCCTACTTCTCACTAAATTCGTAAAACTTTCACCAAATTCGTCCAAAACCCCGTCTAAATTCAACCCCTTCCAATACCTTTTAACAACCTCCGTTCCCACTTCTCCTGAAATCATTCACATCGCTAAACCCCAAAATGCGACCCCCTTTTCGAAATCACAAATGCGGCCCCTCGTTCGAATAGTGCGATGGAGGGTTGACCCTACTTGTAAGGCCTA